TCTAAGAGGTACCTCTCTCCATCGGTATAGGGTTCACTTTGCTTCACTTGTTGCATTTCTTTCATGGTGATCATCGCATCACACTCATCGATGTACCTGCGGACTTGACGGTCCTGAGTGGATGCGTCTACTGTAGCTCTCCACCCCTTTAGAGATGGGATGAGATCTCTGAAGAGTACTCGATAATTGGGGTGTAGCGGCGGCATGCTCTTAAAATCATAGAGCCTGGAGGTGATGAACCTGAGGAATTTTTCCAGACTTGTAAGGTACGATATTATTGTTCCCGGGCTGTCTTTCCACTTTGTAGTTGAGGATCTACCCATCTCGACCAGACTGCATGGCCTTGCTCTTCACCGAGCACCGTTATATCATCTCCATCTTTATCAAGGGCTTCAAGGAGAAGCTTTACCTGGCCAACGTGCTGGAGTTTTAGTGCATCTTTTTTGTATCCAGCATCTGGTAGGCCTAGGTACCTGTAAAACCCGCAAAGCCACTGATGTCTGTTGTCATCGTATTTAGTTGCGGTATAGTACTCCAAGGCTCCAGGTTGGGATTTAATCTTTGCTGCATTATCCTCATCTTCATCATCTTCATTATATTCGTCATCTTCACCATCCTCATTATCTTCGTCATCGTCATCATCATCTTCATTATCTTCGTCATCTTCATCATGTTCTTCGTCGTCATCATCATTATTTTCGTCAACATCATGTTCATTATCTTCTTCCTTTTGTCCATCATCTTCATCACCTTTACCTCTTGATGGGTCCGCCGGCTTTATCACATCTTCCCCTGCCTCTGAAAGCAGAACTGGCACATCTTCCTCTGAAGGTTCTTTCCCTTCTCCTAAAGATTCTTCTCTGTCCTTTACAAGGGCATGGACTTCACCAAGTCCACTGTAGGGCTTTGCTGCCTTCAGCTTGACTCTATACTCCACGGAATCTTTACTCAGTTTGTGGACATTTCGTAAGTGTTTGTCCATATAGCTTGTCACAGTGGTGCAGTTGTCTATAGGGCACCATTTTTTTCGCCTCATGGCACTCTGCGTTTTCGTGTTTGCTGGTCTGAATGCTGGCCCCCTTTGCCGTTTTCCATGCCGACACAGTTCCGCCATGGCTTCGATATTTTCAGCCTCCAGCTCTCCCTTCTTGACGTGTGTCCGCAAGTGCCTTTTTATGTCTTGGCCATGAAACTTGCAGCCAGGCACCTTGCATTTAACTTGGCTGTGATGGCTACGCTTTCTTTTTGGAGTAGAGTCTTCATCCGAGTCTTGTGAAGTCAACTTTCTCTTCCTTGGTCTTTTTGGAGTAGGGTCTTCATCCGAGTCTTGTGTTGGAGTAGGGTCTTCATCTGAGTCTTGTGAAGTCAACTTTTTCTTCCTTGGCGTCGGAGGAATGATATCTTCATCATCATCTGAATCTTGAAACTCTTCGTTTATTTCTTGCTGGAAGAGTGTCCTGTTCAATTGTTCTGGAAAAGGATCACAGGACATGAGCGCCATTTCTTCGAGGATATCTTCTCTCTCTACAGAATAACTGTCCTCCGGAAACTCTTTGTTAAACTTTATTCTGGCTAGTTGCCTCGTACATCTCAGACAGTTTCGAGACATTGATTGATACCTTTGCATCCCCAGCTTCTTTGCTGCCACATACAAAGCCACTGTCTCCCTGTAATCACACTTCATTTCCACCCACTCTGGCGGCAAATCACTTTTTGGTGTGACGTAGCTGTCTTCCATGTCCAGATATTGTAGGGCCTGCTCGTCTTCTTGCATAGCACGCTTAATCATTTCTTTCAATATGGTATGCTTTCCAGCATTGGCGATCTTTGAAGCCATATTGACAATCCTAATTGCAATTTAATTAAGGGAGATTACTTTCAAAACTTTTTCCTAAAAGGATCTTTACTAGTCGTTGTGCTAATTTTTCCCCCCCGGATTCGGGCCCCCCCGGTTAGTCACAAAGTAGTACTCTGCTTAAGTAATGTATCTGTTAAATTTGAAAGAAGTAGATTGAAATGCATTGGAGATATTAAGGGTTAAAGTTTGCCTCGTTTCTGTGCAAAAATCCCGAAAAAGGGACTGCTTACGAGTTTTCTGGTCCGCCACATTGGATAAAAATTTAACCTTCTATAAATGGAACATGATAAGTCTGTTTCCAATAATTTTTTGCCACAAGATAGCCTTGACAAAAGGCTAAGTGGATCACTTATTAGGCATGGGTCGCACTTGGCAAAGTTTTGGAAAAATTTGTTTACCTTGCGGTAGAAATCTGTCATCAGGAGACATTGCCAAGTGCGACCCCAAGTTTTCCGGTTGGAAGAAAACTTTGCGAAACAGAAAAACATCAAAGATGCCGAAGTGCTTGGGTGGGGCAGGCAGATTTTGGAAAACTCGAGCTAAACAATAGGAATCACAGCGGTAGCTGTCAGTGCTTGTCAGTGAAACGCGATCAATCTGAAACACGATCAGTTTGAAATAAACGTGGGAATTTTCAGACCT